TGATTGTTATTATTATTATTATTATTATTATTACATTTTTAATTGTATAAAAATATTTTATACATACATTTTTAAATGTATTAAAATATTTCATAAGTTTTTAATACATTTTTATTATTATTATTATTATTATTATTATTATTATTATTATTATTATTACATTTTTAAATGTATAAAAATATTTTATACACACATTTTTAAATGTATACAAATATTTTTACTAATATAAATATATTTTTAAAAATATATATACTTGTATTTAATATTTATATATACATTTTATAGCCCATGTAAACCTGTAGAAATGTATGTATACATATTTATATGGTTTTTGCAAAATCAGTCATTGACGATATTTTTTACTTTATCAAGCTTTTTCTATTCGATTCAACAATAATAAATGAAGATTTAGGGTTTTGAAATGTATATAAATACTAAATACAAGTACATATATTTTTAACAATATATCTATATTAGTAAAAATATTTTTATACATTTAAAAATGTATATAAAATATTTTTATACATTTAAAAATGTATGCATAAAATATTTTTATACCATTAAAAATGTAATAATAATAATAATAATAATAATAATAATAATAATAATAATAATAATAACAACAATAATAATAACAACAACAACAACAATAATAATAATAACAACAACAATCAAGGTAAGGGCAAATCTGAACATTTTTGAAAAACTTAATGGTAAATCCAAATATTTTTGAAAATTCAAGGGTTTTACTGCCATTAGGTAACCAGTAGGTTACCTAGAAACTAACTACAAGGGTAAAAGGGAACAAATTAAACAAAACTTCGGGCTTTATTAGACATAAAACACGTCCAAGGGTAAAATCGATATTTTTGTGAAAACTTAAGGGCTTTTATGTCATTTTCCCTTAATCTATTTCCCTCACTTGAATTCTTGGATTTTTTTTAAATCGTTTTTTGTAGGGAAAATGACTCTTGAGTGTAATTAACTTTTGCGTTTGTACTTATTTGGTACCTTTTTTGTATTCAATATACCATCGAACTTGTTGTTTGCGTTTACCATAACCCTTTTGACCGGCTTTTGACCTGTGATAGCCGGTCAAAGGGTTATGGTGAACACAAACAACAAGTTTGATGGTATATTGAGTACAAAAAAAGGAAATGGGCCAAATGAGAACGAACTCAACAGTTGGTTACCCTCCTGAGTCATTTTCCCCGAAATGTTAAATGAAATTAAAGTTGCAAAATTATCAGAGACTGCAACCTTCTTTGACTATAATGTATATGAAGAGCGTTTCAAAGGGGTAACCTTGTTAAAACATGGTCTATGTTATGCTTACTATGGTTAGCTGTCAACACCTCTCTGCAAAAAGATATGATTGTGTATGAGAGGTATATTTATTACCATAAACGTTTACCTCAAGGTATATTATGGTGATGTATCTACAAAAGCAACATGATATTGTACATATTGATGTTGTATCTTATCCCATGAATTTGATCTTAAAGCTAAGTAAACTCAAAAATCAAAGCACTTGTGATTTCACTCGTTTGTAGACTTGTCTAGAATCCATGATACGATAAATCATTTGATTGGAAATGTAAATGTAGTCATGAAATGCGTCTGCTTAGTCAAGATTCCCCTAATAAATATTCCAGTGCATTACAAAGTTGTACATGTATGAATAATGTTCTTTTGTGTGTTATGTTTTGAAGAGAAGCAAAAATAAATCTCATAAAATCATTAATATCAGTAGGAGATGACATGAGATTTGTTGTAAATGAATAAATGGAAAATGAATCAGGAGAGTAACCAACTGTTGCATTTGTTCTCATTTGGTCCCTTTCATTTTGTTTGTACTCAATATACCATCGAACTTGTTATTTGTATTCACCATAACCCTTTGACTGGCTATCACAGGTCAAAAGTCGGTCAAAAGGGTTATGGTGAACACAAACAACAAGTTCGATGGTATATTGAATACAAAAAAGGAAATTAACCAAATGAATACAAATATAAAAGTTAATTACCCTCAAGAATCATTTTCCCTTTTTTGTATAGTTGTCTATTTTTGCTGCATTTTATATTTATGATTTTTTAAAATCTCGATTTCCAAGGTAAAGTACATACACAAAAAATCATTGACCTAACTTCCAAGATTCCATATGGATTCATATGTCTCTAACCTGTTATCAGGGTATGTAGTTCCGTTTCATGTCTTTACATGTTATTGCTTTCTGCGGGGTAAACTCGACTCTCTCAACTTGTGTATGAAATAGTATTAATTTTTTTGGTATTTGGAAGGGATTCCTAAGTCGTAGGTTGTTCTTTCCTCAAGGTGCATGCTCAAATGAAAAGAAAAAAAAAAAAAAAAAAAAAAAAAAAGGTAGGGGATTGTTATTGGGGAAGTCTACTACTCTACATCAACTTATTGATGAATTGATAAAATATCCATTTAAAGATAGATAATTATAGAATAATAATTTTCGTTAAAGGAGGCTTTTGTTCACTTCTTTAATCTTATTCATGTTTGGAAGAACAATGCCAACGTGGCAAAACAGGTCCTCCACAATTTTGCTATTATGACCTTCCGCCGCCTGTCATCTATGATTGCAAATTCATAACCCACGGTTTGGCATTACCTTTCATTTTGGCCCATATATAACTTGATAAGCGTTTATTTATTATAGAGTAAATAACAGTTTTGGTCCTTATGGTTTAGGTAGATTTGTACTTTTGGTACAACCTTTGAAAAATAGACAAGACGCATCCCTATGGTTTTTCAATCTTGCAATTTTGTTCCTTCATCCATATATATAGACTATATTGCCCTTTTTAATTTCTTTTCCTATTTTCTTTTACTCTTTTTAAAAATATAAAATATATTTTGGTCCCACATCTCCTAAGTCCTAACCCTCCACCTAAACTCACCATCTCTCTCCCCTTCTTCCTTTTTCGTTCTTCTTTCACCACGTTCAAGAGTGTTGATCTAGACTACATTTTTTTGTCCCATTTCTTCCTTCCTTCTTCTTCCCAATCAACATAGAATCATAGCATTGGTTGATGTTTTGAGATCAACGGTGGTGGAGCAGGTGAGGGTTTGGTTTTTGTAGGAAGCAACAGAGCCACCGAGATGAAGGAAAACGATGATGAAGAATAGGATGGCAACGATGGAGAAGATGGTTGATACGGTGTCGAGGATATGATAGTTTCGGAGTTCGGACAATATGAGTTTGATTCGATGAGACATTTGTCATAATTGGTATGTTACTAGGGTTAGAAATAGAAATTGGCGAGATGAGATATCCATAGGTCGTTGGAGGAAGAGAGGTTGAGACACTAAAGGGGGAGTCGGAGGATATATGAGATCTGAAGGTGATTTATCAATGGGAGCAGGAGGATATGTAAGATATTTAGGTGACGAATCAAAGGCAAAGGGATGGTGATGGTTGGTTTCAAAAGGAGATAAGGAAAGGAGTCGATGGGACGGGAGGTACTTACTGGCAAGAAATCATATATGCCTTGTCTTCTTGTGTTCTTGTAGAAAATCACTAGCCTTGTGCCTGAATGGAGGAGAAGAACTAAAATAGACGTGTTTCGATTTTCTTGTGGTGGTGTTGATTGACGATGGTGGGAGATGAAGTAGCGTTGGCAACTAAAACTTCATGGATGTTTCCAAGGGTGAATGAGAGAGATGGACATGATGGGTTGTGGTAGGGTGGGAGTGGGTGGGTGAGGTGGACATTTTTTATTTTTATATTTTCAGAATTTATAAGTGAGTAAAAGAAAATAGAAAAAAAAAATTAGAAAGGGCAATATACTCTATTTATATGGATCAATGATTAAGGTGTTGTTTGTTTTTTGAAAAAAAAAAAAAAAAAACTCTTTAAACCTCTTATTGATGCGCGACTGCGCAACACTTTTCATCTCGCAGTTGTTTGTTTTTTAGAAGCCTTCTGAGTCAAAAACCTTTGCGCGTGCTCTGTTGGCGCAGTACTTGTACTACCTCTTCCAACCTCTTCTTGTTTTTTTATTGCTGAAATTTTGATTATATGTTGTTAAAATTTTAGTTCATATTTTGTTTTGTTTATTCTTGTTGAATTTATTTTTTTCGTTTTTTTATATTCAATAATGATAATTTCTTTATGAAATATCATTAATTTTTTATTAAAATATCTTTATGTTTTGTTGAAATATCATTATGTTTTACTGAAATATCATTAGTTTTTACCGAAATGTTATATATTATTAAATTTTACGTATTAAAAAGCTATTTTCGTTTTATAAAATTAGTTTATTTTAATTTTTTAATATCTGCAGCTATATGCAGATATTAAAAAAAACACGCTTCTTATTACAGTCTGTAGTCATTTGTCCACATCTTCTACTGCAGAGGGTTACAGAGGTGGTCCGCAGACTTCATGAATTTTTGCTTCAGAAAATCAAACAGAACCTATAACTACAAGATTAGGAAACCACATAAATGCATCTTGTCCATTTTACAAAGATCGGACAAAAATACAAATCTACCTACACCACAGGGACCAAAACAGTAATTTACTCTTTATCATATGTTCTATTTTGACCTTCGTCCCCCTGAACAACTTCGGAATCTTTTTCTTTCTCCTAGTTTTTCTCGACAAACATTCAAAAAAAAAACGTTTGAAGTACGCTTTAGTGAAGCACATCTACTTAGGCAAACGATTACAACTATTTCTCATTTACTATGTTTCATATTTAAGATAAACCACCAAGTATTCCTATATTCATAACATGTTATAATCATCATGTTAGACTTCTCCTAGCATTAGAATCTAGCTTCAACACAAAACCCAAAGCATGACTATCAAATGATAATGAACTTGATTCGACACCGCAACATGAGTAAAGATAAATCACAAATATCATATCGATATCGATATCGATACAGATTCTCATCTCCTTACTGAAAACCTAACATATATATACTATAATGATACTGTGATGTGAGATAATTTTTCCGATCACGTCTGGCGGTAGCCACCGTGATGTGGTGGTGGAGTGGTTGCACCGCCATTAACCGCCTGTTTATTTCTACCCTCCGGTTGAACCTCGGCGGTGAGAGATTTCATTTGTTTTTGAAGATCGGAGACGGAATCCGTTTTTCCTTTCGTACCTTTTTTCCCGTGAACGAGTTTGAGTTCGAGTCTATAAAGGGCACAATCGTCACATTTGGTGATTTGGTATTCGAAAAGATGCCATTCGAGAGATTTCATGGGTTGTGGGTCCATGTAATATGACCTTTTTAGCCATCCGGAATCATTGATTACTTGTTTTCGGGATTCGTGCCAACCGCGTCCGTTGTAATCGGGGAGTGATCGTTGTTTTCGGTTTCCGCTCTCGAAAGCCCGCCGTGGCTTATCGAAAAATAGCCACTCGCGGACTGTTTCACCCTCGAAAACCGCGATGTCGAAGAGCTCTGAGAAAGGGTCAAAAAAGGAATTAATCAGTAAAGAAGTGTAAGTATGTTATACGGGCAACAATTTGGATCATTATTTACATACATTATATCTAACATATCAGATAAGCATAAAATTCAAAATAACAAAAAAGACAAATAGACCAAAAAAAAGGGTAAATTGGTCATTTTACACTGATTTAACGGTAGGTCATGGACATGGTTAGCCAAAAGGGACCAACAGTGTAATCGTTTGAAACCAAAGGGACACAACTTATAAACTTTTGAAAGGTTGGACCAAACCTTCGATCTTGAACAGACCACAGGGACTATTTCTGTAATTTACTCTTACCCTTATCATTATTAAATATATCCAGTTATATCCACTCCACCTTTTTTCTCTCCGTCCATCCTCCACCACCATCATGTGTCAAATAAATTAAAAAGGGTATAAATGTCATTTTACATGAGTCAAGGACCATTTACGTAAGAAATTGAAACTGCAGGACCATTTGTGTCAAAAATAGTTAGGGACTGAACATGTGATTTTTTATAAACAACAGGGACCAATCGTGAAACTTTGTCTAGTTTTTTATAATTGTTTCCAATAGACAATAGACAATATAGAGTAAATTACTAAAATCGTTGCTATGGTTTAGTCAAAATTGCACGTTTGGTCTCTAACTTTTTTTTTTCACTCGGATCGTCCTTGTGATTTGATTTTGTTGCGTTTTTCGTCCCAATGGTTTGGTCAAAATTGTACATTTGGACCCTAAATTCATGTATGCAAGGGACGAAAAACGCAACAAAATCAAACCACAGGGACAATCCGAGTGCAAAAAAAAAGTTAGGGACCAAACGTGTAATTTTGACCAAACCATAGGGATGATTTCAGTAATTTACTCGACAATATAAAATTCCAAAAATGAACAATAAATAAACAGTAAATTACAGTTTTTGTCCTTATAGTTTGCTCGCACTTTTAGTCCAACTTTTGAAAACTTAACAAGATGCATCCATGTGGTTTAAAAAGTTTACAATAAAACGATAAAAGAAAGGGTAAAATGGTCTTTCTAAATGGACCAGTGTAAATTTTTTGTATATATAAAAGAAACTAGAAATGTGTAATAGAAAAACAAAACGATAATAGAAAGGGTAAAATGGTCTTTTTAAATGGACCAGGGACGTACAGTGTAAATATATTATACATATAAAAGAAATTAGAAATGCGTAATAGAAAAAATAAAAAGATATAAGAAAGGGTAAAATGGTCATTTTAAATGGACCAGGGACTTGCAATGTACTTTTTTTAAAACCACAGGGATGCATCCTGTTAAATTTTCAAAAGTTGGGACTAATAGTGCGAATCTTACCAAACCACAAGGACCAAAACTGTAATCTACTCAAATTAAAAAAATAAAAAAATAAAAAAGATAATAAACTAACCAGGAGCATTCCATGGGGATTTGGCAGTAGCTGCCCCCTGACATTCGGGCACACCAACATTCTTTCCCTGTGACTTGGCAGTCAGGGCAGCAAAAAGCAAATTATCCTTCAACTCAATCCCTTTCGGTCGGATGACCGGTTTCATTCCCGGGCAGCCTTCCGTCTGAGCAACTGCAGCATGCAAGCTGCTGCAATAGTCCGGGCACCACCCCTGGGCAGGCCTCGGGCAGTCCCAAAGAGAACATTTTGGCCCTAAGAAAGCAGAAGGTGGAGGGCTGATATTCGGTAGAAAGCTCATCATTGGAAGTAGATCATCATTTCCCTCCTGAATAATATTATTATTATCATCAAATGAAAAATAATCCAATTCCCTTTCAATTTCATTCCCTGAAGGAGACCCTTTGCTTTGACCCGTTGACTTTGACTCTTGTTCTTTCTGAAAGAAAAGAAATATTGCAAAGATCATGAGGGCATTTACGTCTTTTGCACAAAGGGATCAAGTAATTACAGTTTTATTTTATTTTAGGGTTAATGATGTTTTAATTGAAAGTAACTTTGACTAAATTTCAATTTAGTCCCTCACAAATTGCTCCTAGATGATATTATGATCTTGAGAAAAATCAAATGAAAAATAATCCAATTTGGTTGACCCGTTGACTTTGACTTTTGTTCTTTCTGAAGAAGAAAAAAAACACATTGCAGAGTCAGACAAATGAGGAGGGCATTTACGTCTTTTGCACAAAGAAGAGATCAAATGCAAGTCTGTGTATCACATTGCAGATAGATGAGGAGGGTATTTACGTCTTTTGCACAAAGACACACTGCAGACAGATGAGTGCATTTAGGTCTTTTGCACAAAGAAGGGATCAAAAGCAAGTTCGTGTATCATATTTCAGACAGATGAGGAGGGCATTTACGTCTTTTGCACAAAGACACATTGTAGACAAATGAGGAGGGCATTCAAGTCTTTTGCAGAAAAAAGAGATCAAAAGTGAGTCCGTGTATGAGACAGATGAGGAGGGGCTTTTATGTCTTTTGCACAAAGACACATTGCAGACATATGAGGAGGGCATTTACGTCTTTTACACAAAAAAAGGGATCAACAGCGCGTCCGTGTACGCAACTTTATTGACATGTATAAAGACGATTGAATCCACTTTGCTGAAAAGGATTTCTATTATTATTTTTATGTTATTTTGGGGTTAATGATGGTTTAATGGCAACTAACTTTCATAAAGTTCAAGTTTAGTCCCTCACAAAATGGTTTTCATCAGAAAGTCACTCGAAGTGTGGTTTTCAAATCAAATTGTATCAAATGAAATAGCTTCCATAAAATAAACATTTTATAATGTAAATATTATAATGTTGCGTGCTTGGTCCCTGTTTGACCTAAAAAGACTATTTTGCCCTTGATTTTTTAATTTATTTAAATAAACACACCCCAACCCCCCTTCCACCTCACCTTATTTAAATAAATTAAAAAATCAAGGGCAAAATAGTTTTTTTAGGTCAAACAGGGACCAAGCACGCAAGAAAAACAAACTGTAAGGACCTTCCAAGTTAAAAAAATAAGTTAGGGACCAAACGTGCAAAATACCCCAAACCATAGGGACCATTCGTGTAATTTACTCAAAAAAAAAATTATATTAAAAAAAATTAATTAAAATTTAAAAAGTTTCGGTACTTAAGTGGACATTTGATATAGTTGGTTGCCATAAAACAAACATCAAACAATAATAAATACTGTCAGGGCAAAATTGTAATTCACAGGAATTAGTAACTACAAATTTTTGAGGCAACAATCTCTACCTAAAGAGATAAGATGTATAGCTATCATTCTGTTGAAATGAAATAGAAAGTTGTCTGTTCAGTTCAATGAAACAGACACATTTTTGTTAAAAATTCACGAATTTAATTAAATTACAAATTTAGTTTCTAAAAGCAACAAGAAAATATACTTTTTATTAGAGTTTATTTGGGGTTAACATGCTTTTAAAACTATTGTACTTCATCATTCCACTATATCAAATCAAACAAATCTAAAGGGTATAATGCTAGGTTCATATATGATTTTGTATTATTAGCTAAATGTCAGTATAACCACAAACAAACCTAAACTTAATCACAACAAAAAAAGGAAAAAACAAAAACTCACATTGTGAAAAAAGGCAGCATTTTCACCAGTTTCAAGGGCATCAGGGTCAGGTTTTGGGGCAGCTAGCCCACTAGTTGCATCATCTTCCTCCTCACAAAGTTGTAACAGTTTACTTATGTCTGGGGAAGAAAGCCCAAAACTTGCACCCTGCATGAAAATATGTAATTAGGGTTCAAATTCTTGTATATTGTATATATGCAAGACCACACATGACATGGTTACAACTTATATAGGATTCCAAAAATAGAATCCAAAATGACTCAAGCCATACATTTTAAAAAACATAAACACCAAAAATTGAAAGATTCTAGGAGAATTTGGCATTACCAAAAGGGGATTTTTAATGACTAACTAGATCAATTTTAACAATAAGTGATACCTGTTGTAAAGAAGAAGCAGGTGAAGGTTCATTGAGTTCATTCTTCCATTCTTTAAGCATTTGGTTGACTTGTTCTTCAAGGACTGCCACGTCAATACCACGACTCTCTTTTCTTGCGGATTGAAGATCTGTAAACATGCCATGGAGGTCCTCTACACGGTTTTTGGCCCTGTCTTTGAGTATCTGGTGAGAGCCAGACTTGCCTTTTGTTCCTTTCCCCATCAAAGAATAATAGAGCCTAATCTTTTCCCTTTCAATCGGGACCTGTCAAAATCCAAGGCCAACGATTGCTTTCGTTACATGCAGAACTTACAGAATCATAGTGAACCATTGGATGAAAATCTAAACGAAGAGACCACGTACGACCGATTTAAACCAAAAAAAAAATGAAGTAAAGTGAATGAGGAAAGCATAATCAGAAACCCTAGATGCATAGAAGTACAGAAAATCGATCAATGTCTGCAAATTTGTTAACAGACGCATCGAAGACGAGATCATTACATAAAAATTACAGAAAAGAAAGGGGTACTTGATCGGGAATTACCTGTTTCTGATAATGATCCGATGAATGAATGATAGAAAGTTAGCTAGGGTTTGGATTCTCTCTTCGAATCTGCTACACTTTTTGTACTGCTGTTCGGTGGAATGGAACGCAGCAAATTCGTTTTCTATGCGAAGAGGCAAACAACATGCCTTAACTCCGCTTGGGCAGGACTCAGGGGTACGCGGCAAAAATAAATAAATAAATAAATAACACTATTTTCTTAATTAATTTTCTTAAGGGATAACTAAAGTGCTTGTATTTTTGCAAAATTTTCAATAAAGTTTTTTTTTAAAAAAAAAAAATGAATGAAAAAGCCCAATAAACCGAATAAACCGGACAATTTAGCCATTATCATCCGGTGACCCTCGTTTAGCCGGTTACAAAAGTCTACATGGCATCTTAATGGTGACCGTATCGTTGACCTCATTAATTTAGGTTTTTTTTTAAGAAAACCCCTTTTCTCGTATCCTATATTCCTAACAAATCGATCGATCAATTATGCTCGTGTCCTTTGGCGATGGATGAAGTATTTGAGCCTAACACAATCGGCGTTCAAGTTGATGATTTTGTAAAAACCAAATCAGTTTCAAGATGCAAAGATATATTCCTTAATGTTCTTTGTGAAGACGGTGATGACGAACCAATGAAGTAGATGATGAGAAAACACTAAAGAATCTAGTGATGAAGATGAAATTGTATACTCCATCCCTAATCTAAAGGTCAAATGGAATGTGATGAAACCGATTATTAGAGAAAGGTATGAATCTAGACATGAACTGAAATTATATTTTGTCAAAAGTTTAATAAAGTTATAAAAAAAATTTTGAATGAAAAAGCCCAATAAACCGGACAATTTAGCCATTATCATCCGGTGACCCTCGTTTAGCCAGTTACAAAAGTCTACATGGCATCTTAATAGTGATTGTACCGTTGACCTCATTAATTTAGGGTTTTTTAAGAAAACCCCTTTTCTCGTCTCCTTTATTCCTAACAAATCGATCGATCGATTATGCTCGTGTCCTTTGGCGATGGATGAAGTATTTGAGCCTGAAACAATTGACGTTCAAGTTGATGATTCTGTAAAAACCAAATCAGTTTCAAGATGCAAATATAAATTCCTTAATGTTCTTTGTGAAGAAAGTGATGATGAACTAGTAGAAGGTGAATGAGAGAATGCTCAAGTGGAAGTAGATGATAAGAAAAACACTGAAGAATCTAGTGATGAAGATGAAATTGTATACTCCATCCATAATCTAAAGGTCAAATGGAATGTGATGAAACCGATTATTGGAGAAAGGTATGAATCTAGACATGAACTGAAATTATGTTTAACAAATTATTCCATCTATAAGGGTTATAAAATTCATTTCAAGAAGTGTGATCTTGTTAGACTAGTGGCTGTGTGTGCTAGTGATCCAGAAAAATGCCCTTTTATGGTTCGTGCTTCATGGATGAGTACTAAAAATTCATTCCAGGTGAAAAAAATATGAATGATAGGCATACATGTGTTAGGAATTTTAGTAGTTCAAGGCTTATGAATCCAACTTGGTTAGCAAAGCAGCTTGTGAAAGAACTACTGAGGAAACCAAAGTTAAAATGCAAGGAAATGCAGGCAATAATTCAAAGTAAATTTCATTGCAAGGTGTCATGGTCAAAATGTTATAGATCAAGGTGTAAGGCAGTATCCTTAATTAATGGCAATTTGAGTGACCATTATGCAAGAGTGTGGGATTATAGACATGAACTGGTAAGGTCCAATCTAGGTAGCATAGTTAGGATTTCTGTTAATATTAGCCTTGATCAGACTACAACTTTTCATAGAATATATGTGTGCTTTAAAGCAATCAAAGATGGGTGGAAGATAGGATGTCGTAGGGTTATAGGGTCTGATGGGTGTTTTTTTAAGGGACAATGCAAGGGTGAGCTACTAACTGCAATAAGTAGAGATGAAAATAATTAAATTTACCCTATAGCATGGGCTGTTGTGGAGGTTGAAACAAGGTTAATTGGAAATGGTTCTTGGAACAGTGAAGATCTTTCATTGGATGCTGGCAGGGGATTATGTGTCATTAGTGATCAACACAAGTTAATAACAGGTTCATTTAATTCATATCATCTATTATAGTTTTTAATAACAGTTACAAATATATTTTTTTCATTTCCTAGGGTCTTGTTGAAGCAACAAAGGAAATTCTACCTTATGTAGAGCACAGACAATGTGTTAGACATATTTATGCCAATTTTAGGAAAGTGTATAGTGGGATACAATTCAGAAACATGTTTTGGGCAGCTTCAAAATCCACAACAGAAGGTGATTTTAAGATAAACATGGATAGGGACAAGACTTTAAGTGAAGGTGCATATGACCATCTTATGGCTAGAGAACCTCATACATGGTGCAAGGCATTTTTTTGGTAGTAGTTTGGCATGTGAGTTTGTAGAGAATAGGATAGTTGAGTGTTTTAATGCAGTCATTGTTGATGCTAGAAAGAAGCCTCTTTTGGCTATACTTGAAGAAATAAGACTCTACATGATGGAAAGGTTCTACAACTTAAGAAAGGAAGCACATAAATTGGAAGGTGATGTGTGTGAAGCAACACTTCTAAAGATGGAGGAGCTTTTTTAGGATATAAGGTATATTTTGTATTTCGTATATAAATGTAGTTGTTTAATTGACTGTTATTACCTTTATAATAACCTAAATATTTATATTTGCAGGACTTGGTATGCAGTTCCAAGTGGTGTTAATTCATATGAAATTAGGAATGGCTTTCAAAGTTATGGAGTTGATTTGGAAGACCATTACTTCAGTTGTAGACTTTGGGAGATAGCAGGGATACCTTGAGTGCATGCACAAGTAGCAATCTTATACACCAACTGAGATCCAAAGGAATTCATTAGCACTTGGTTTAGCAAGAGTAATTACTGTTGGATATAGTGTCTAAGTCCATAACTATATTTGGTATGTACTTGACCCGACCCGGCATGGTCCATTTGGGTTGCACTTCACCCGGACAATTTATGGAAAATATTTGAGAAGAGTACAAGTTATGATTTATTAATATATTATAAGTTCTAATATATTAATATAAGATCATATTATTTAATTAGTATTGATCTATAATTAATCTAGGATTAATTTAAAGATCAAAGATATTACTAATTAAATATGGGCTTCTATATTTATATAGTGTGGGCTAATGCTTATTTGGAATGGGCTAGGCTTGCATGGAAAAGTCCATGGATACTCCATGGAGCTTTAACCCATGGATCTCATGGAAATGAAGAGACATGGGTATTAGGGTTTACATGGATGTAACCCTAATCCACCACACTATATAAAAGAGGCTTTGGTTCTTGAAATCACACTAGTTGACACTTGTTGAGGTAAGCGCCGATTTCAAGATAGTAGTGACTATTTACTCAAAGTTCCAAGTTTGTGGTGATTTGTGATTTCCATTTGAGGCATTCACACTATTGGTGCTAGGCTCTAAAACTCCAAGCAATCAACTACTACTACAAGGTAAGTATTTCTACTAGCTTTATTTGATTCATGTTCCCCATACCATACTAGTTAGGATATGAACCTTAGAAAAATAATTATTTGCATGTATCTTAGACAAACATAGATCCAAGGTTTATTAGGGTTGCATGTGCACTTAGGAAGTGTTAGAATGCTCAAAACCCAACAGTAGTATCAGAGTCTAGGCTTGCTTGTTTGATACTTGATGCAATATAGTTGAAAAAGTCGAAAAACTTGTTGTCTGCCAGATGCACTCGCCGAGTCCATGGGGGGACTCGCCGAGTTCATGTGTATCTTCAACCTACTCGGCGAGTAGGTTTATGCACTCGACGAGTAAGAGCGACAGAGTGTATATTTTCGACTTTAGTTGCTGGAAATGGACTAGAAACATTACCCTAAACTGTTTTGGTACTTGAAAACTTGTTTTAGAAGGTGTAATGTCTTTGCTAATCCATTTACAAAAACTGTTATCAAAATTACAAAGTTTTATGTGTAATTTTTGATTCATGAAAGTGTTCATATTCATGTTCTTGATCTTATGATGTTTAGATGATCATAGGAATTATTTGTAACCTATGTGGTAGTTTAATTCTTGATCATAATGTGTTTTAATGGAGTCCATAACTTGTCCTCAAGTTATGGAAAACCAAGAGTCACACTTGAATTAAAACCATTAAAAGAACACAAGAGTTAGAAGAATGAAGAGTCTTCAGTTTTTTTTAACTCTATTTAACTCCTAAGTTACAAGAAATGAAAAGTTTTGAAAGTTTACAAAACTTGCCCTCAAGTTTTGGAACAAGTAAAGTCATATTAAACTTTAGTTCCAACCCTTGGAATTTTAAAAAGTTAAAATTCAACCCTTATACTTATAATATTATAAGTTAATAATAATATATATGTATAAGATCAAAGTCGTCTTACCGCTAGTACGCCTCATTCACGAAGCTAGTCTATAAGGTTGTTGCCTATAAAATGGCAACTTAATGGGTGTCCACTCTCACCCACCGCTTGCTTGACTAGTGGAGGGTTGTTAGCCGAACGGGTAAGACAAGGACTTATAAATTCTCATTAAAAGTATGATGAATATTATAAAGTAACTAAATGTTTTATTAAATTCCCAATCTTAGTTACTTTAGGAAAAATGTGAATAAGGTGCTAATCCATGAAATTACACTTTACACTTTGTCTAAGTCGTTAGTGGAGCGTGTGTGGTTAACCGACACACTAACTTGGACTTAACAAGGTAGGTAAAGGGTGACTTAATATTTATCATAGTATCGATGGAGCGTGTGTGGTTAACCGGCACATCGATTGAGGGGTAATTTATTAAAGGTACCAAGTAATTTGCATGGTTACTTCATACCTCGTTTTGTGATCCTCGGCATCCCAGTCACAAAACTTGGAGGGCACACTCGAGATTGAAACATGCCTTTGAAAAGTTCATTGAATCTCAAAAGAATCTAGGAGTTTCTAAGAACCAAATTAAATATTTTAATATTTCGACTTTGGTGGAAATTGGTGAATCGTCATTCACCTACCTTTCAAATATGTTATTACTTAGATTACGCATACCTCTTCTAAGTATAATATATTGTGATTGGGTCCTAGCCTTAATACTACATTTGGGTGTTTTATTAAGGACTATTCCTATTTCTAAACTAAACGTTTCTTCTCTCAGATGTCTGCAAACACTGCTGCTTCTGGCTCTAATCCTAATGGCTCCTTTTCTCTTATGAACTTGTGTGGGAAAGTCACTTTTGATGGATCCAACTTTAATGAATGGATCAGAAACATCAGAATGATTACTCGCTACGAGGACGAGGAATATGTCCTCGATAAGGAGCTTAAGGAGATTGATGAGACAGTTGCCACTCCTCAAGAGATCATTGAGTTTAGGGCACATGAAAGGGATGCCAAGAAAGTGGCATGCATCATGATGGCCACCATGACCGCTGATCTCCAAAAATCCTATGAAGATTTCTACCCCTATGAGATGCACCAAGACTTGATGGAAAGATACCATCAAAGTGCTCGTCAAGAGAGGTATGAAATCATCTCCTCCATGATAACAACTCGCATGAAGGATGGTGAACCCATCACGGGCCACATGCAGAAAATGCAAAGATTTGTGGACCGTTTGCTGAAGCTAAATGTGAACTTCCCTAAGGAGCTTGCAATGGATAAAATTTTGCACTCCTTACCTTTATGTTATGATCAATTCCGCATGACATACCACATGAACAAGGAAGAGGTCACACTCAACAAACTTCAAGGACTCTTAAAGACCGCGGAAAGTGGTCTTAAGGGTAAGATGGTTGTTACCTTTCCTACTCCTATCAACTCCGCCCCTGTCTTGGGAATCGGGAAAGGACGAGGGAAGAAGAGAAAGAGTTCTTTGAAGGGTACCAAGGTTAGGACCCTTGATGGCTCTTCTTCAAGTGGAACCAAGAAAGGTTTCATCACTCCTTCTTCTGACCCAAAAGAAGTTGAATGCTTCTATTGCCATGAAAAGGCACATTGGAAGCGGAACTGCCCAAAGTACCAGCAAGATGTGAAGGATGGGAAAGTTAAACCCAACCATGCAGGTATTTACACTATCATTTCTAATAACTCACCCCATTCTAAGTCTTGGGTCCTTAATACCGGTTGTGGTATTCATATTTGTTGTGACTTGCAGGGACTAAGAAGAAGTGAGAATGTGGAGCAAGGAAGGATAAACTTAATCATGGGGAATAGGAAAGTTACACATGTCACCAAGATTGGAGTTTATACTTTGTCGCTAATGTGACAACCCGATATTTCAACTCTTTGTAATGGCCTAATAGGTCAAGTATTATAAACATTTTTGAGTTAATAAAATTAACTTTGATAATAAAATATCCAAAAAGTTTCTATTTAAATTCTTCTATGTTTAAATATCATTAAACCAAGATCGTACGTAAAAAGAACGCCCAAATCCGACTTCGTATAGTGAAATTATGATTTTTCCAAGTTCATCTTAGCAACAGACAGCTAAAAACTCGAAACGGAGATCGAGCGACATTTGGCCGGAATGACCTAAACGAGAATCGAAGGTCTCGACAATGGTATTTCAACGGTAAAAAGTCTGGCAAAAACCGACGTCAGATAAAGAAGTTATGAATTTTTAAAGAGATTCCTTAATCACGTCATTTTAATAAATAAATAATAAAAATAATTTCGGAATTTGCCAACGGAATCTAAACGAAAGTTGTAGATCGTAGTCTCACCTTCGCGGGGATATAAAGAACGTCGAAAACGGAGTTCGTATGAAGGAGATATGAATTTTTGAAGTTTGATAAATAATTTATATATAATTTTTATTAAAAATTCGGTATTATCCGAAGAGGAGTCAGCCTAGGGCCGAGGTACGCGCCGCGTACCCTCGTACGCCCCGCGTACTCGAGGCACGGCCTCGGATCGTCCACGTCGCCCTATGCGAAGCTACCCGACCCGCCGTCCCATCCGACCCGCTCCATCCGAAATACGTAAGCGATGACGTACGGGTACGCGCTGCGTACGCCCGTACGCCCCGCGTTCGGAGGCGGTTCAGCACCCCTATAAAAGGGATGCGAGCCTTTCCGAAAAATTTGTTCATTTTCTCTCTTTCTCTCACGATCTTGCCTCGATTTCCGTGCCCGTTCAAACCCGAAGCTCTGGTCTTTTTGCTCAAGTCCCGAGGGTCGATTTTACTCCCGAGATTCCCGAGAATCCCGAGAAAAATCCGTTTCCCGAGACGAAACTCTGCCCGGTTTTCGATCTCGCTATCTTCAAACTTCCAAGTGAGTTCATACCCCTTTATTCAACCTTTGAAATGCTTTTAAATGTTTTAAATACTTTATGGGGGGGGGAATACAAGTTAAACACTTATAGTTATTGCTTCGATCACATGTGATTGCATTAATCACATGTGATTAATAACTAGGAAACCAATGATTTTATCACTGTTCAAACTGTTTTACTTCAAAATGTTTTACAAACTCTTTTACTTATCAAATGCTTTATTGTAAACTTTGTTTTACTACCTATAAATTTGCATGCCCATATATGTATAGCTGTATAAATAATGTTTAAAGGGCTTAGGAAAGCCACCTGTCCTATTTCCTTTTCCTCGATTTGGATGTGGTCTGGTGGAATTTCGGGTGACCATCCGAGGGTCGTTTCAATATTAGTTATATATCATATATACATGTATTGACATAAAAGTACTTCCATATTCATACTTATCAGCACCTCGTTAGTAAGTTACCATCGGGGTAACACGGGATCATACTACTACAATTTCTAGATCAACGAGTCAGTTC